TAAAAATAAAAATATTGCAAGAATATTGTTACGAAATTACAAGAAAGAAATTTACTTCATATGTAAGTAGTTTGCTTCATATATTTGATTGAAAAGAATTGCTTTAAAGTTTTAGCACATAAGTTTGGAAAAATATTTGATACATTGATAATGTATAACTTTTATATAATATAAAGCACAAAATCTTAACATCTTCATATATTGTTTTGAAAGAAATAAAAAGTTCATAAAATTAATATCAACTTTTTATTTCTTTCAAAATAATAATTTATTAATGAGGTGTTAGGATTTGGAGACCTACTCATACATAAAAGCTATGCAATATCATATATTAATAAGTTTAACTAATTTGCTTTAAATTTGCAAAATCAAATTGGATAAATTATTCTTAATTGTGTGATTATCCATTCTAAAGTCTAAAATTTGATTTTATAATTTCAAGATTAATTAATATATATCTAATTAAAAACCTTGTCATGAATAAAAAAGTCTCTATATGTAATTCATATTTGAATAAGAAGGATATTAGTCTTTTATGTTTGGAAGGTATTTGTAAGGCTTACAAACACCTTTACAAAGGGAATTGCATTACAAGATAGAATTCAACTTGATAGGGGATTGAATGTATATAACCCAGGTTTTAAGTAGGCAAATCAAGGGCTTGTTTAACTTGGTATACATCAAGGTATTGTAAATTGTATTTGTCCCTTTGACTAGTTGGTTTTGAAGGCTTTTATATGGGTATGGAAATAAGGAAATTGCCATTTGATGAAGTGAGAAAACAAATTCAAAGGATTTGGCAGTTTACCAACTCTTTGAGTTTTTGTTTTTTTTCCTTCCCTTGAAAAAGTAAAGAGAGCAAAGATGTTTTATAAACTTCAAGTTTGCTTACCTAATTCCTCTTTATGAGTCAACAATAAATGAGAATTGGGTTGAAAATTTCGAATGCAAATGTACAATCTTAAGTTTCCATGTATATATATGGCAATTGCTGCACGAAAATGCTTTGATTGCCATTACTTTAATATTGTATATGGACTCATCTCTTTGTTTTCAAATTATATTATACAATTATGAAATCAACCCCAAATTGTATCTTGAGTTTCTTGCTTAGTTGTCTCATCATTTCTTCCTTTCAAATCAGTCGTTAATGTAAACAACTTATGACTTTCCTTTTTCTTTTATTGGCTGAGTCTTTCCATTTCTACTTAGCTTCTAAATAAACTTTTTACTAGCTTGAAGCTCACCACATGCATGGTTTATTCTTGTTCCATTTTCAAGTGTAATTAATAGTAAAGTGGAGAAAGCAAGGTATTCTAAGTAAGTACCTTCTAAACCACTCCATCTTCTTCTTCCTTTTTCTTTTTTATGCAATATGCATGTGACCTGAAAAAACCAAAAAAAAAAAAAAAAGGAGTCATTCATGCATCACAGGTGTAAATAGTTAAAATTACACTATTTGTGAGTATCATAAAGTTGTAAAGTTTATGAAATTGATAAATTACATTATAAAAGATTATTGAAACCATTTCCAAATAGTGAGTGAGAATTAGGTAAAAAATTTTAAATTCGTATCATAATATATTTTCGGCATAATACATAAAAATATTTTTCAATTATTCACAAAAATTTAAATAAACTTTTATTTCTTTATTGCGTTCAATCAAGCATTATATTTTATTTTAGATCAAATAAACCTTTATAATTAACAATTGATTAATTATTATTTATCAAGTCACCATTTTGTTATTTTATGTCACTTGATGTTAGCGTAGTATGTTATCATATCATAATAAATAATAACGAGATATGTCCATGTGGCAATTTAACTCCACACGTCAATACCATGTAAACACCATATAAGTATAGAAAATGATAAGTAATATTTTGATTAATAACCGTTAATTATAAGAGTTTACATATTTGATCCAAAATAATAACATTTATTTAAATTTTTAAAAATATTATATGATATATTTATTATATAAAAAAATAATTGAAAAAAAAGCTTCGCTGAGCATGACCATAAACAAACATCACCAAAACAGTTGAATGTACGATATGTAATTGGTAGGTATTAAATTTTGAAATTAATTAGTAACATATGTATCCTATTAACTACTTTATTTTATTTTACCCAATTTTAGCTTTCATCTTATGTACCAAACACATTTATTTGTAAATGTGAAGTTGTTGCACTCCATTAACATCATTAAAGTATCCATTTCATAAACTTGTTCTGTTCTTTTTTATTATTTTCTTTTGAAATACATTTTATGGTCATAACATCATAGTATGTTGTTTTCTTGGTAACAAGAAAATTATGAATGTAAAATAAGTTGCCTAAGGGTAGGTTTACAATCACATGCCTGAAAGAGATGACCACTGGCTAGCTTGGCATGCAGCCTAAAACGTTTTGGGTTGTTTTATTATATCAAAAAATAAAATAATATTATCCCAAATAATTTATAATTAATTAATTAATACTATTTCATCTTTTTTTTAAAAAAAATTTCTATCTTTTATTTACTTATCTTTTAATTTAATACATAAAAATTCAAGACGAATATATGCAAGCTAAGAGTAAAAGAGTTTCAAACCAAAATCCTTTTTATTTAAAAATTTTTCTTTTTCTTATTTATATATTAAAGAAAATGCGAGCGGGGGGGAAAAATAGAGAATAAGATACAGCACATGCCATTTCAATACCCGGTTCACCTGAACCGGAAGGAAGATCCGGTTCAATTTCCTGTTAATTTCACCGAAAACCAGTATTTTCCTTTCCCTTCCTTCCACCTCTTTCTCTCTCTGAATACAAAATCTAGAGGACAAGGCTTAAAAATCTGATTGTTAAAATACAGTAAACGTTCAAAGAGAGAAAGAGAGGAGACTATAAGTTTGTAACGACGCCGGAAAATAGATTTGTGGGTTTTTCTTTGAAACTCACAAAAATAAATAAAAAGAAAACATAACTCGCCGGAGCTCCATGACGGTTGAGAATTCGATGGACTCTCTGGGTCCGAATGGGTTTGATATCTGCGAGATTTACCGGCGATTCTGTGGTAATTTTTTTTTTAACTTTTCTTTATTTATTCTCAAGATTTTACTTCTTTTGCTGTATCCCTTTAAACAACTAATAAAACGTTTTGGTGTAATGTAAAAAATAAGAATTTGAAAATTTCTATATTTTTGGTGGTTTTTTTGGGTGAAAACGATTCGAAAACTGTATAAGGGTTCTTGGGTTTAATAATTATGGGGAAAGGGAGTTGAAATAGTTTTTTTTCTTTTAGTTTAAACTTTAGTTGATTTGAATAATTATGGAAAATATTAATCTAATTTAGCATCCAGAAAATTTTAATAAAAGAGCAGAAGAAAATATGGGTAATTTAATTGGGATTTAACAAATTTTAAGCAAGGTTGATTTGTTTTTAGTTATTTGATTTGATTTGATTAAAGAATTGGTTAAATGTTCACAGTTTTCAACTGTTCAGAATATTTGTCCTGTGATTGGGATGCCAATTTTTTTCTTTTTATTTTTAAAATTTTATTTGGTTTGATACTTTTTTTTTTTTTTTGGGGGGGGGGGTGGGTGGCGGTGGGGATGGAGGTGGTGAGGCTCGAAAGGGCTGTTGCTGTATATTTTACTTAACTTTTGAACTGTCTTGCAGAACTTAGAATAGGAAATGCTTATGTTTGTGGTGAAGAAGGCTACGGACAAGATGAGAATTCACAAAGAGCTAAATTTTCTAGGGATGCATTGAATCAGCTTTTGAAAATGGTGGAGTCAAGGATGCACACAAGGTAGTACACATATCTATAATCTGTATATAGGAGTTTATCTAGTTGGGTTTGCCCTTAGGAGGATTGAAGAATTGGTTTTTTAGTGTTAAAAGACTTGACAATTATTCTTCACGGACGAGCCAGTTTGATATTTAAGGGATACCACGTGAGAACTATCATTCTCAGGTAGTTCTTGTCTTAGGTCCATTTGATTTAGCTGCAACTGTTGGAAACTACAAATCACATCTTAAGGTTGAATTTTGAAGACTCCAGCTTGATCCTGAGTTGCAATAATCCCTTGTAGACCATGTTATACATCCTACGCACATGTTATACATGTGCGTAGACTACTACTCTATCATTAACAATAATGTGTAAACCAAGGAAAAATTTAATCTAATATTTGAATGAGAAAGATATTATGGCCCAAGACAGAATTTTTCTCAAAAGGAAGGTGGATGGCAGAAAAAAGATTCTGTAGCCGGTCTTGTTTATTGGTTATTCAGTCATAATTCAATTGCACACTAGTGATTGTTGCATTTATTCAATGTTTTATTTCGTTTCCTTTGACAGGACTGCAATCTTTGATGAACTTCTCAAGCTCATGTTTCAACTAGACTTGATGGTGAGATTCCTCTTCATTGAAGTTCTTTGAGGGACAGATTTAACTAGAATTTTAGACTCTAGTATGAAGTATCTTTACAGTTCTTCACTTTCCTACATTGGTTTTATGTTTTGATATCATGTTTTCCTTACTGAAATTTGACTTGCTGTTGTTTCTTGTAGGTAGACTTTTCTGAATTCTCGTGCTTCTATGATTTTGTTTTCTTTGTATGCCGGGAAAATGGTCAAAAGAATATTAGTAAGTTTTCTCATGCTAATTAGTTAAATGCAAATGCTTTTATTGATTTATCCCTGGAATAAATATTGAGGATAAGTAAGCTGTAAATTATGATAAATTTTTTTGGTCTTGTACTTAAATCTCTTCTTTTTGTGGCATGATTGGTAGCTGTGAGCAGGGCGGTTGCTGCATGGAGATTAGTCTTAGCTGGCAGGTTTCGATTGCTTAACCAGTGGTGCGACTTTGTTGAGGTATGAGTATGACTGATACTAAGCGGCCAACCCTTTATGTTTGTCTCAGAGGCATCTTGTGAAACTCTTGGTTATTGTTCCAACATATAAGATTACTGTAATCTTTGCATTAATCTTTCATTAGAATTGTGGCATTAGTTGTTACTTTATAATTAAATCGAATGACATTTATGATTTATTATGTAACATAGTGGGTAGAAGATTTTATCTAGCACTTCATTCCATCATAGAGGGAGTCGCTTCTCTACTGTTCCAGTTTCAATTGTTAGTGTGTAAGAAGCATTCTAAAAGTCTTAGTTTGGTTGCCTTATACACGTTGGAAAATCATTAGACAGGGCATGTGAAGCTGTGCATGCCAAGTTAGTGAATTTGAATGATAGTCGTCTCTTGGGCTGGTTATGTGTTCTGTTTTTGCACTATAGGTTTAAGTTGACAGAATACCTGCATATGATCTACTGCTAATCTCTTGATTAAGGCAACTAATGTTTAGATTTCCTCTTAGAAAAATCAGCGACACAATATTTCTGAGGATACTTGGCAGCAAGTTTTAGCTTTTAGTCGGTGTGTGCATGAAAACCTGGAAGGGTATGATCCTGAAGGTATTAAGTTTCCTAAATCTGTCTTATGGGCTCTCATGTATTTTTGCCATGTGGAACTTAGTTTGGTTATTTTGCAGGTGCTTGGCCTGTTCTAATTGATGACTTTGTTGAGCATATGTACAGGTTTGGTTTCTGTATCTTCAGCACTTTCCTTTGATCATTGCTCTTTCTTATTACTTTGTTTATCTTTAGGCTATGCAAATATTTTAGTATTTATTTATATCATCCTTGTATGTTTTTTCTTTTCAATTTTGTATTTTATTGATAACTCTTGTGTGGTATTGTTTTGGCTAGATGTTTAAACCGCCCTACTTTCCATTGCAGGATTTCTGGGTCCAACAAAGATTCAATTGTTTTCTGCAGCTGTGATGATTCAGATTCCCAGTCGTGTACATATGAGGACTCATTGCCTGGTATGTCAAATATTAGTTTTTGTGTTCACCTTTAAATAAATTTCATATTTATACCGAAACAGCAATTGATAATTGATGTTATAATGATATAATGTGGCAGGATTACGAGTATTTTCTGGGTTGAAGAGGAAGCTGCCCGGTTGTCACAATGACATAATGGAGACCTCAGATCCACACTTCTCGAACCCGGCCAACTTGTTGAGTTGTAAGAGAAGCAGGTTGATAACGCACAGAGCGGTTAATAGGGAAGATAATCATATCCGGAGTTCATCCGAAGCCTCCTGCATGGAAGTTGTTAAACACAGTAGTCCAATGGGTTCTTCCAAGTCTCCATGTGCAGTTGAAGGTTGCCTGTCAAAGGGTTTTGCAGGGCTCTTCTCAAGTCGTTCGTATATGCAGTTTGATCGGGAAAGAAGAGTTTCGTTTACATAGAGCTCCCACCCCAGCGAGTTTAAGAATTATGGGAAAATATGCTTTGCGAGTCGTATGATTTTGATATGAATTCATATGTTGGCTTTGGGGATTTTATGATTTTGTGGGTTAATTTCCAACGTTTGTGGGGTGCTGTCATTCCTTGGTTGATGCATGTTACATTCCTCTTCCGTTGTAATCCAATAACTAAAAAAAGAATTATACTACATTTGATTAGTATTTCTTTTAATAAGAATATTAAAATAAATTAATAAGTATCAAATAATATGTGACATTAAATTTTTTATTTGAAGTAAATGTGATAGTAATGAAAAATTTAAATTGTATAAGAGAAAATAAAAATATTCCCAAAAAAAAAAATTGAAAAGACAAAAATGGTGGGAACTGAGGTGTTGGTATTATCAAAGCCACTTTGCTGACCAAGGAGGCAGACGCTATGAATACTTGCCCAACAAAAATAAAATAAAATAAGTCTCAATAATAATAACAATAATAAATCAATCAAATTTCAAATTAAATTAGATAATTCACTCTATGATATTTTTTCTCTTCCTTCTTCTGTAAATATTAAGTGTAAAAGTTGAAAATAAAATAAAATAATAATAAAGACGTGCAGCAAATATAAAAAAAGAACTCTCCAAAAATTTTTCAATTTCCAAATTCTCACATTATTATTTAAATGTGAAATTAAATATTCAAATGTCAAATTAATAATATCATTTTCTATAATGAGTTGTTATAAATAATAAGGGTTAGCAGCATAAATCATTTCATATTCGTATTTAGTGTATCTTAAATTAGTTTCATAATCCCATTCCAATATTTAATGCTGAGAAATATGATTTACATAATGGTGTACTAATTATAAATAATAATAATATTTTTAAAATTTTAAAAGTTTTTACTTTAAAAAATATTATTATTTATTTAGTTACTCATTTTTAAACAGAATCATTTAATTACAATTCGAATTCAAGTTTCGTCATGGTGAGGTCAAACTATTTTAGATTTTTTATTCAAAATTTGGCCAGGTGATCTTTTGTACAACAGAAGAGGAAGAGGGTCTCAAATGAAATACTAAGCCAATCTTTTAACACATAAAACTGAAGAAAAAAAATGCTGAGCATCTTCAGGAACAGGAACAGGAACAGGAACAGGAACAGGCCCAGGCGCTGCTGCAGTCAACGTACTCAGCTAGCAACACAGGGTCAAAACTATGTACGCCCCGTTGACAACGAACAGAGCTCACCACTGGTATTTGGCAGCAACAAGGACCTCCTCATACTTCTCAGCAGCATTGTCCCAGCTGAGGTCCTGCATCATACCCCGCCTTTGCAGTCCTTCCCAACTCTTTTTGTACTCGCGATAAGTCAACAAGCAGTTCCCTAATGCATGTATCAACCTATTTGCATCCGCACTATCGAATGTCCACCCCAGCCCTGACTCTTCGTATGGCTTGAAGGGCTGCACAGTGTCCCTCAATCCACCTACTGCATGAACAACTGGAATTGTTCCATAGTTCATAGCATACAGTTGGTTCAATCCACAAGGCTCAAATCTTGATGGCATGAGTAAAATATCAGCCCCAGCAGTTATACGGTGAGCTGTCTTTACGGAGAACCCAACCCATCCCCTCACTTTGTCAGGATGTTGGTTTTCAAACTGCCTAAGCATCTCTTCTAGGTCAGGTCTGCCAGTGCCTAACATGACTAGTTGCACATCCTGGCCCATCATCCAGGGAATTGCCTCAGCAATTAGATCAACACCTTTTTGGTGATCCAGTCTCCCAATAAAACCAATCAGTGGGACGTCTTCACGAAGAGGCAGCCCAAGCTCCTTTTGTAAGGCTGCCTTGCACTGTGCCTTGCCAGTTTTCAGTGTTTCCAGGGAGTAGTTAGTGTAACCATCTGATTTGAGGTGAACATCATACTGTGGATTCCAGTGCTTTGTATCAATTCCATTCACTATTCCCCTCAATTTCCAGTCACTTTCATTTATTATCCCATGCAAACCCCAACCACCTTCAGAAGTTTTAAGCTCCCAAGCATATCCATGACTAACAGTGACTACTCTGTCAGCTGTCTTTAGTCCTGCTGCAAAGATATTGAAGTGGTCACCTCCAACGGGGTCATGTAACTTGAAAAGGTCGATGTAGTGTTCTGGAAGATCCACATAGCGGAAATCCTCCACAGGCCCCCGACCCTGGATACAACTTAGGAGTTAGAACAGGCTACAAAGAAATTCAAATAAATAAATCTATGAAAGCATTTCTGGTAATAGCAGTCAAAATTTCTTCTCCAAATGATATCCAAAGTTTAAGCAGAATTACATTCTTGACTTATAATGTTAGACATTGTAAGAAACAGAAAAACTAAATTACCTTTCACCTCAGCAAATGTTTTTGGATTCTCATTCTCCATTCTCCCTCTTTTGGGAGATTAATTCATGCCTTAGATGCAACAAAGCAGCAAACAAATTATCCAAGTTCATGGAACAACCATAGTTGTCCTTGATGTGAACCAACTTCAAGAGATAATTGTAGTTAAGGTATGTAAACTGTCATTCGTGTTTTAAGATAAGTTCTATGCAAGTCCTCTTTTGTTTAATAGGCAATACAAGATGACAAATCAATATTAATATACAAACATTCTATCTGTATGCAAATAATTAAGATACAAATGTGAATACACTTGGACATCATTATTTCAAAGAAGAACAAGGCATAAATATCAACGACCTGATTCCTTTGTCACAATAAAAGATCACACCAAGTGAATTATCATGGCACATAGGACACACCTGGTGAGCAATATTATGGATAACGAGAACAGATCTAGTGAACGACATCAAACCATTGTCGCGATAATATGCCTTCAAGTACACTGGCAACAAAGCAGTATGCCAATCATTTGCAATGAAAACCAGATTTCCATCTCCATAGCAGACACCCCCACATGGAACATGCCAAGGAACCTGAACGAACCACTTTCTTCATGTTATGACACTAACAAGATAATCAATCAATTATATTCAACCAAAAATTAGGCTATGCCAGAAAAGAAGAAAGTGGTCTCACGATAACCTTAAAGTTTACCAAGAATTATCTATGTAAGATCATTCTAGTATGGGAAAAAAGAAGCATCATTTACTTTCCATGGTACACCCATCTATAATATGTTTCTTTGACTAGAGCCATATAAAAGTCTCTTTACATATGAGATCAAACAATAAGTTGCCAGTCATGTGGATCATAGAGATGATCCTAAAGAATAACTCTGGAATTAAGCAGACCTATATAATTTTGGCAGTTTTGGCAGTTTTGGACACATGCCAATGGTGAGGTCAACAGATGAACTCCACAGTACATTCACCACGGTTTATTTTAATCAGACAAATTTAGAGGCTTTTAAAACCTCACACAATCAACAATCCCAATCTTGTAATTAATTGTTTATTTAAACTCCCACATTGAGTGTGTGATGCTTTGAGTAACACTAAATTACTTTTCCAGCTACCATCAACTTTGATCCATCTATTTTCTCCATCATATGTCGATCCTACTACAGGTTACAGGGACTGGGCAGATATGTGGAATTAAATGAATAGGAGTTTCAGAGATTGCCAAACTGAACCATGGAATAAGTCAATTTCTACATAATGTTGATGGAAATTTAGAAATTGTACCTCAACAGCTGCCTTACAAAACAGTATCATGCGCTTCAAAATGTCCTGCACCACAATACTAAAGTTATCTAAGATTCAAAATGCTAACTATGGTAATCCAAGAAATGCAATTGAGTTTATTGCATTACCAAATCAGTAAGGTTACTTCTGTTTTCATACAAAAATATGGATTAAAAAACATAATGTTTGAACTAATGTGTTGCAAGCAATTCATGCTAACAGCACTGCAATCACCCCATCACACTATTATAAAATGTTAAAGAAGTTATACAAGGGTTTTTAGAAAACTTATAAGTTATAATCACTCTTACATTAACATTAAAATTAAGCACTTTGTGGCCAATTTTCTAACTTTTCTTTTCTCTCAGGTTTGTAATAGATTTGGCACGTTAAGAACATAGCAGATGTATTCTGGAATCAACCTAAAGCAAGGCCTCATTACAATAATGATTATCCTAATTATTAACCAATCATAACCAAGCACAAGAAAAGATATCCTACCAGTCGGTTTCCTCCATATATGTTATTCTGCATATGGCGAAACATCGGACTATCCATGAAAACAAAATCCACACCATCAATATAGGCTTGGAAGTATGATACTTCCACATCCTGCAAATAACATATCATCAAGATTATGCTGTCGAATTAGCTTATGTTGGTTAACAATCAAATGCAAAGTAATTTACAACAATATGTACTAGCTCTTTCATACCTGGCCATCCACCTTATACCTCTTTCGAACTCCTGTATCTTGAGGTTCAGCATAATCAGCATATCGAGGTGCTACAACCTAAGCACAAAGAAAGGAATTTACTAATGAAGCCATATAAAGTGTCATGTAGGTTCATTATTGGGTCCAAACATAAAGCAAATGCTTCAGTGCCGAACTCAAACGGTATAGAGGATCATAAACTAACAGCGTAAAAGAATGGCTACTGGAGCAACTAAAGAAAGAATATATACAAATATAAAAGTTCAACTCAAGCCACAAACTAAAAATGATTTGCTTCATTTAATGAGACCTCTTGGAAGTATATAGAGTATACTTCATATGTTGCAATGCTAAGAAATTCAATTTAACATAACAAGCAGAAAAACATATTACCATAACCCTATGTCCACGTCTAGCCAAAGCCTTTGGCAAAGAACCGGCAACATCTCCAAGGCCACCTATAACAAGACTACATCAGTCTCCGAGTTATATACAAAAGGACATGGTATATGAGACTGCCATCCCTCTATCAAGAAAAGAAAAGAGAGACTGTACCCTTAGATTATCTGTCAAAGATATATTACCTGTTTTACACCACGGGGCACATTCTGCAGCTACTAATATAACATTCATGACATTTGCACCAGCTAGTGGTGGGGGTTTTTCATCTTCAATTGCAGGATCATCTACCTCACCAACCTCTTCCAAACCTGCTTCAGTCAAAGTTTCATTCTCTTCAACTGCAAGTCGGGCAGTGTCAGAGGAACTTGAGAGATAAGAAGGAAGCACATCAGACTTTAATGGTTTATGATCAGTGGTTTTCAACTGTTTGGAAGAACCTATATTAGAGGAAGCCTTTTCTGGAGCCAAGTGTTGTTCAGGTTCTCGTCCAACTTCATCAGGAAGTGGGATCTCTGGTACATCCTTCATGGTTAAATTAACACGACTGCTCAAAAGAATGCTGCCATTGTTGTTTTCATCCATTTTGTCAGAGCTGCTTGAAGTAAGATCCACCTTGGGAAGACAGTTATCCCTCTGTTCATGAAAAACTTCATCTTCATCTTGGTCAGTAATGCTACATTTTATGGATGAAACCAATTTCCTTCTTTCTGCAATCTGCCATGGATAAGGAAAACTGATAACACCATTAAGATTTCAATTCTTATTACTAAAAACAGCAAGATGAAGTGATTATATCTCTTGAAAGATAAGATTTGACTACTAGAATTATAGTGAACAAGAATGGACATCACAAATTTACTCATTCATAAAGCTGGTTAACATTATTCCATAAGCTAAAAGGTTTTCATTACCAAATTTTGTACGGTGGTAGCAACATGAAGTTCAGAGTTCAAAATGCTGAGTGAACCAAGATATAAATCCATACTGAGTACCTAAAAAAAAATACTGCTGAATGCTGTCGTTGAACATACCAAATAGACACCAAGTAACAAAAATACCAATGCTTGCTGCTTTTTTACTATTAATTCTAAGAAGTTCAATGTTGGAAGAAAAGAGGTACTTATTCTGCAATGACATAAGCACTTTGAGCAAATAGATGTTTTCGAGACCACATATGAGTGCAGTACCCTTTATCAATGTAAATTTGCAAACTTAGAAGGCTGTAGAGTAAAAATTAGATTTAAGGTGGCAAGAAACTAGGCCACAACGGAACCTCATCAGCAATGTGATTCCAACAAAATCGTCTTGAATCAATAATGATAGTATCTTGTCATATACTTCAAGAAAGCTACAAAAGGTACTGCCTATTAGTTAGAGTTTTTTTCTTCCTTATTAATTCGATGGAGTATCCATCACAAGTTAGGTCTAGGATTCAAAGTTTCTAAACCCAGAAAGAATTATAGTCATAAGTCCCTTATCACATTTTTCATCTTTACATTCTGCAAACTCTAACACTCATAAAGTCCATTCAAGAAAGTAACAAAGAAGCAGTAACAACCCAGAAAATAAAACAACTATCATTTACATTAAAGACTCATCTTTAATCCACAAGCAACATCTCAATGAAAAGCATAACCTTTACAATCCAAAACTAAGATTTCCGAGGAAAACAAGAAGTATGCCAAAAAAGTACCTGGTGAAGTAGGTCTCTTTGCATAGCAAGAACCTTTTTGCTCTTCTCAATAGTAGCCTGAAATGTATCTTCCGAGTCATCACCGCCGCCACCTACACCATCCAAAGAGCCAGCCACTCTCACAGGCTTAAACCTCCAAAGCTGTCCTTTATTAGAAAACAAAGAAACCCCACATGTCGAACCATTCAAAACAGCCAAGCTTGTACTCTTTCTTGGCCTAAAAGTTGAGAAAGGGAAAACGGGTCTATTTTCTCTTTTGCTTTCAATGATAAAAGGTGAAGAAGAAGAAGCAATGTAAGCCATTTTCCGGCGCTAGACACTATGTCTGATGATAAACCAAAAAGATCGAAAAAAGAAGTTTCTTTATTAGCAACCACAAGATAATTTGGGAAGTGGGAAGAACTAAAAACCAAGAAAAAAGAATCTCGCTTTGGCAAACAAGAACAGAGTTTTACTGAAAGAATGAGAGTGAGATAACCCAGATGAGAATTATGAGAAATGAAAAGAACCTAAATGAGGAAAATAGGATTCGAGAATTCCCAACGGAAGAAAAGGGTGATTGACAAACTATAAAGTGGACAAGTATAGATTTTTACACCAGAAATTGATGCAAAACCATGGAAACAAGAGCAAAATGCCTGTGGAGGGTAGGTAAAGTGGGTCCCAAAAACCGGGAAATCATAAGAGCAAAACGCTTTGTGATGGCTGAGAATTTGGGAGCAGAAACCACACTTTACTAGAGCTCTGTGTGACAAGGAAAGTGCCTCAATTCCACGTCAGGCAGAAACGGGAGGTCTTGGATTACTTATAAGCGATGGTGCTACACATCTTTATAGACATGTTTATGGGGAAGAGAGTAATGATCCCGTGACAAAGTGGTATCAGAGTAGACTGGTCCTCGTTCTGACTCACGCCAAGCGTCCATCCCGGTGGGACTGGCTCGATGGGGTCCAATGGGGTAGGCAGGGTGGCCGACGGCAGCGAGGACGTTTGCCGATTCGGGTGGGTGAGAGTGTCATAAGGAAAGTGCCTCAATCCCACATCAGATAGGAATGGGAGGTCCTGAGCTTCTTATAAGCGGTGATGCTGCACACCTCTATAGACATGTTTGTGAGAGAAGACTCTTTATAAGCTGGCTCTGCTTAACTAACCACAAAAAAAATAGGCCATTTAATGGCACTTTTTAAAAAATAAAATAAAAATTCCTGCGTCTTTATTTTGGAAGAAATATCATAGTTTAGGACAAAAGTAACGGGGTCACTTAGTTTTCACAGGAATGTAAAACGTGGGACATCAACAGGAACAAATGACCGCCTTTGATTTGCATAAGCCATATTCATGGATTTCTAACTTTCAATGCAAGTTTATAACTGTAACACTTTTCAATTGCTTTACAACAACTAGCAGTTTAATAATGGTGAAAATGATGGTATTCATACATGGCTTTACAACAACTAGGAGTTTAATAAATGTTTAAGAAAAATGGTGCAGTAGGGACTGAAATGATTATACCAAATGAGACTAAGATGCAGTAGATTTAGGGCCTTGTTTCTTTGATCTCCATCTGCTCATTTCTTTTCCAATTTTTAAGTTGGAAAATATGATGTTAAAGAAGTGCAAATGAGCAAAGAGTCTGACGCAAATTGAAGTTAAATTACATTCAAAGCCAGCAGCGAACGTGTCTGTGAAAACAGGCACTGATGTTGTTACAGAAACCTGGCATCATTACATGCCACCCTCTTGGCTTTTGTTGTTTACACATGGTACATATACACATTAACACGTGCACAAAAGGTCAGCCTTATCTTCTAAATGTGGACCACATTTTAGCTTAAATGAGAACCCTTAAAGTTGGAATTTTCATTTTCATTCAGCTTGAAAATCAACCAGATGGAAACAAAGGGCCACTTGAAGTCCTGAAAAGCCTCCCTCTCTTGAAGTCAATGTTTTCCAGCTTTTCCTGGCACCATTTGAGTTGAGCAGTGGATAGAATTGACATTTGCAGTACCCTTGATACCAGCTTCATTTCTATCATTGTCAACAATATTGCCTCTTTCTGGGACTCTTCCACAGGGTTCACAGCTTTGTTAAACCAGCACCTTTGTTTCCCTTGCAATTCTTTCAACCATAGTTCCTTCTGCAGCAAAACCAAAACCAAAGAAAGTCTTAGTCAAACAGCAACTTGTCTGGAAACTTTTACACTATTTCCACTACTATATCTGAAATTTCCTATATACCTTTTGAAGTCTTCTGGTGAGGTCAGCCAGCAGCTCTAAGTCTCTTGGATCCTCCACTGGGGGATAAGTCCATAATGAACTTCTAAATTTCCGCCAAAGCCTTTTCCTGTCACTGGCTATAAATTTTCCAAAAGCCCGGATGCATTTTTCTATGGCCTTCGACACATCTTTTGCATGCACTGTTTGTCCTTTAATCCTTTCCTTTTCATCCTCAAAAAACCCTGTAATAAGACACCCAAAAAGTAAATCAGCACATCATGTTACGTACATAACAAGGTAGCTTGATAACCATTGATTGGGATGTTAGTTACTGTACTAATCCAAGGGCACATCAGGAAGCAAATTTTCTTCTCAAGCAGAATGTCATTCACAGAAGATGACAAATTGACATAATTATTTAGACAAGTACGCGGGTTTTACAAATTGAAGGCCATCTGAATTAGTCAATCTAACATTAACAAAAGTGAAAACAATCTATCGTTGTCTGAGTCAATAGAAAAATGGCAACCACATGATCTCAACAAAGTTACAGACATTGGCTACTATATTAAAGTCCTCCTATATAATAAAGGTGTACTTTAAATGGTTAGATGTGGATAATCTCAGATTAATTTTATAACTAACTTCATGGTGATTAACAGCTTTAATCTAGGGAAACATGAACTACTAAAATGGGATCACATAAAAATTAAGATTGAGAGAGGAAATGGTGAAGAATTTAAAAATTACCTGACAGTTTTGGAACTTGAAGAAGACTCTTGGAAGCTAATCTTGCTCGAACATAATTCCAAACTCTCTTTCCCTGAGAACACCTTTCATCTTCCATAAATCTTTCTAACAGTACATGGAAGTTTTGGAATTCCCCTGCTACATCATCAGAAAACAAGTAGTTGGAGAAGGTGAGAAACTTGACCTTTCTGTATTGATGGTGGAGGGCCTCCCAGGTTAAGCATGATTGAGCCACATAGACCAGCTCAAAATCACTTTTTATACTTCTTAAGAGCATTTTCTTATCTATTTTGCTCCATGATATGTAGGGAATTGAGAAATCCTTCGCCTTGATGCTTTCTAGTGAGCTTGGTATTCCCTCTTCCTTATTCAAGATTGCACCTAAAACAGGGAACCACGAACTGCAGTCAGTGCCTCTGAATCTCATTAAGATGCATTCTATTAGAAAAACTTATGTCATGTTGGAATTTTTACTAGGATAATTCAAGATCAAGGCCTTTTCCCCCCGTCAACATGTAAAAATTTGGTCTATCAAACACCAAATAATTAGCCATGCCATTTTTGCATAAATATATGACATGGCCGACAGGTATACGCAGCTGGTGCAATAAATTTGTATGCTTCTTTTCCCCCTATATATGGCATAATAGAAAAAAGATAGTAAAAGATACCACTTATTCCACAGGTCCTGTCATAGTTTAGCACATCGAACCATCCCATTCTTTCAGAGTATTTCTTGTAGAATTCTTCTGATTCATCCCCATCTGTTGCTCTGGTTATTACTTCTCTGTCCAAAACTGGAGAACCAGAGCTGCAAGCTGCTGGTGGTAATGAATATTCTTTCATGAATGGTGAGGTGAAGGAACTAAACAGTGGTGAATATTCATTCAAGTATGCTTCATCAATGGATGGAGAAGAGATACAAAAGGACGATGAATACTCGTCCGAGTTCATGTCTTTGTGAAGACAAAAGCTCCAGTCTTCCTCATGTGAGTTCTCTCTTCCAGGAAGAATTTCATTATCTTCACAACCATTAGCATCTTCAAATCCATCCCTCTGAAGTCCAACCACTCTAGTCTTGCATGGAATTGAAGGTATTATGCTGGAAGAAATACCCAAGCTAACAAGCTGATATTGACTACCAACTGAAAATTTTACCACTTCTAAGTTGGAACCAACCTCTTCAACTACTTGCAAGTTGGTAACTCTAACAAAGGAGAAGATATAGATGATACAATTTCTACAAAATCTATAAACATAAGAACACACAAAAGAAATGATTCTAAAAGGATAAATGAATACAACTAAAATACATCTTGTCAGCAGTTTCAGCCATAGGAAAATCTGGCAAGCAAAAAGAAAAGCAGGATGGATATAGAAGCTCAAATAAAACCACTTCAGAAAATATCCATCAGGGATGACAATAGATTCGATGATAAGCCAACAGGAAGCAAGGTAAGCCATCGTCAGGGTCAGTACTTTTCCATGGCCTGTTAATTCCGAACACTCATGTCAGGAAGCTCTGATAGTTGTTTCCTGGTGGTTTGTGGGGGATTTTAGCAGTTGATTAACTTAATTCCCTCAACAGCATATAAAAACTTGGTGGAGGCGGGGGGTCATTGACAAATGAATGAAACAACATGGAAAGAACCAAGATTGGAAAATTGTCCCCCAATCACCATAAAATAAGAGTAGTCCATGGGTCGGAATTCAGGAAATATAGAAGGAACTTTCACCGTCTTCAAGAGAACAAACTTGTCTCAGAATAAACCTCGTGATAGAATAAACTAACTTTTTAGTTTATGCATTAAAATACACAACTTGTTTGCCTACTTGGATGCTATCCGTTTGAACAATTGTCTAATGATTCTGACTGTATTACCAAATTTGCCTAGAATCCCTCTATGCTCCTCTCCTGTCTTGAGCATTGACAGAAGTGATCAAGGGTGAATCTGCCATTTGGCTACAAATGAATCAACGGATTGAGGAAAACCTGTTAATGTTCCATTAAATTTTGCCTTTCATTTTTTCCACGATAATGACAAAGACAGTGTTGACAGTTTAATTAAGGTGTGCAGGAACAAATATGCCTTTGATGAATGACAAAGCTCTCCCAGGCAACGGCCTGAAACTGCGTTGGTAATTAATATTTCATGCATCTTGACTTGATTTCAATCAGCTCTTACCTCACCATTGGATAAACATCAACAGAGTCAATGGCTTTTACACCTCATTCCAAGGGATCCCACCTAACCTAACAGGAAAAACAATTTGATCAAAGTCTGGTTATGTTAGCATTAGTACATGCAAGGATGATGATTGGAAGCTGCTGTCACGACCACTCCAAACCTGTGGCGATTATAAAACAAAATAAAAACTGTGAAGAATGGATACTTACATGGGATGCAAATCTGACAGTATATGGATCTTTGGTCTTTATAAATGATATGAAATCTGGTTGGCGGTTTAAACAAAGAAAACAACCACATATATACCTTAATTAAGAAATTCAGAAAAACAAATAAAGATGTCTTATTAAAAAAAAAAATTGAAACTGAAAGCTTAACTAATTAATTGAAACTCATCTGCAACATGATGAACTTTTTATTTCAGGGTTATGTAATATCAACTGCCCCTGCCATACTCGTACAACAAAATAATCTTCCCAGAACCCATCACTTGTTCAGAATACATTTTGTCAACTTTTTGCTCCATGATTTTGTGCCATTGTTTTCCTTTCATCAACTATATATCAAACCAATAATGTTCCACATACCAATTCATAT